TAATCTAAATTAAATGTTCACCTTAAGGTGATTCAACAACACTGGAATGCTTTGAGGCGGAATAAATATATTTGCGATAAGAAAAGGATCGTATTTAAAATAGCAAGCGGAACATTGCTGTTAGAGATTAAAGAAACATTCATTAGTGCTCAGTACTCATGGTATTGTATAGTCTGCGATACTCATAACTTTGAACTTGGGCCATGTTCTTATATCGGATACAGAACTAAGTAATGGTGATTGTTCATTTTAATGTGTGCAGTGTTAGTGTTTTGTTGATCTTCCTCTTGCAGACTGTGGTTGAATATGTCTATATATCATCAGTACAGTATACACACAAAGTCGCTGTGAAATTAGCAATAAACATTCTTGCCACCAGGGGGTGTCATGCCGGTTAGTGTGAGTATGCCGGTTAGCCGATTTTAAGACCGAAGTCTTGGACAAGGAGATAGTGTTGTCCTCCGATAGCAAGGATTTTAGTAGAAAATGATGAATGCCACTGCTTTATTTAGAGAAAAAACTCCGTGAACCCTGTATTCAGCTATTACATTCCAACATTTTTAATTATTCTAAACCAAATGAGGGCAGCACAGTGGTATTATAACTGTGGCTGCTGCCTTGCAGCTTTTTAGTACTCAGTCAACTTCTGAGTAGAGTATGCATGTTCTCCCAGTGTACATGTGGGCTTTTCCTTCCACCTCCCAAAGAGTCTGGGACAGGCTCTGGTTTGCTGAGATCTTTTTTTTTCTTGTTTTTAATTTAGAAATCTGATCATCCCATAACCAGCAGATAACGTATCTTCAGTTGTTGCAATAAGAATAGAAGCACAAGAAACACCTACGGTACCTAAACAAGAACGTCAGATGTTAACATTTAGTACTGTCAATCAGATGAGTTGAGAACAAAAGCCTTAAGCAGCTGTTTCTGAGCATCTCTGTTCTGCTCTCAGATTAGGCACATTGCTGAGCCTTAAGGTGTCTGCTTGGGTATTTTTTTTCTAATTGTTTTTCTCCTTGTGGATGCGTTATTGCACACTAAAATTCGATAAAACCTTCTCCTGAGGAATTGTACGTTATCTCTGTCTTTGTTACGAATCACATCTGCAGACAAACCAAAATCCGTCCCCTTTTCTGCTTTCGGAGTGAATTTGCCACAAAAAACCTTTTCTAGCTGCACCTTTTCAGAGGCAAGCCTTTTAAAATATACAAATATACCGTTAATTACGCACAGTTTGTAGAACCACCGTGTGTATCCACGGACACTACAGTCAAGAAAGGCTTTTTTATTTTTTTTAATTATGTCCATTAACACATTTTTAATTTTAAAGCCACAGAATGATAGAGCTCCTATCTGAGTGTCCCCATGGCCCTGCCTGACCCCTCTCCCCACCCTCGAAAATGGAGCTGAGCACAGCTCTCAATAGAACACAGCTTGTAAAAATGAAATTTGTATTTTAACTTCAAAGTCGGACAGCTGTCTCTTACTATTTTTGTTCCAGAGGGGCTCCCACAGAGCCGGTGACTCTCCTGCTATAAAGCTTTCCTCCTGCTGAGACTCGGCAATGTCTGATGTACCGCTGTGAGGGGCGGGGGTTTGGAAGACCTCAGCTCAACTGTGCAGTCGCTGAGCTGCCGGTAGCTGTTGAGGGTTATTAAATGAAGAGGTGACTGGTAACATCAATAATTCCATTACAATATTTGAGATGTTCGGTGAAATATTTTGAAGGCGTTATCAGCTTGTGGAGCTGTAAACTACACCTTATGAGCAACAGGACAAAGTATGCTGGCAAAACTATGCTAAAGAAATTCTGAGCTAGAGACTGTAATGATATGAATATCGATGTAAAAAATGGATATGGTGTCTGTGGTATACAAACCTCAAAAGCCTCTGTCTCTGTAAGAAAGATTGCATGCTGAATCTTCATTATACGATATATATCCAATGTGTATTATTTGAAGACTGCAAGTGTGGTTATCATTTATTTAGAAATTTCTGGATATCATGTGTTACCTTTTATGTGAAGCTGAGTGATAATATGCTTTTTGTTTCAGATTTATTCATTGTGCATCATACAATTGAAACAGTTTATGTCAAAGTGATACTAACATTAGGTTAGTAGTTGCTAATAATTGGGTCAATTGAAATCAACCATAAATTTCTCCTCATGAATTTGTATGCTGAGTTTGACCCATTACATGGGCTCTTCACAGAACGGGCTGCATTGAAAAATATTCATTGGAAAAAGTCTTCATTTTCAAGGAAAATGACATTTAAGTTTAAGTGTAACTGTGAAACTGAAGGTTTGAGGTGCTATCATTTACCTTCTTTGCAACCTGTTTCATTCCATTTTTTTCCCCAAGTCTCAGATTCACCAATGAATTTGTTGGTGCTCATCTAGCTGCTCAACTGATGCAAATCCACCTTTGAAAAAACCTTGCACAAAATTGTGCAATTTAGTGCCTTTGACTATGGTGCTGAGGAAGACGATGATAGTACTGAGGATTGGGTATGACCCAACATACACTACAGGACCGTTACCTTATTAAGCGCTTTCCTTGGTAAGTGGAGACTTCGAGATATCAGTGCATCTTTTGCAGTGCACTGGCAGTATGGTCATAAATAACCATGTCAGAAGAAAGTTGCTGCTATGTTTTTTTTTTTCTGGGCTTGTGTATGGTTCAGTCAATCAGTAAAGCAAAATAATTATGGGACAGGTGTATCGGCCTGAGACAAATTTGGAATGGGAAGATGTTTTACGCTGGTGTGCAGCAACACAGACAAGATGGTACCAATATTACTGCAGAACAGCAAGGTTATCCCATTGATGGGATTCTGCTGAATTGCACTCTCAATCTGTCTTCATTGTAGTTTGTTGTACCTGCTAACTGGATACACAGAAGACTTCATTATCCAGTGCTCTCTTTCCAGGAGCAGGAATGCACTAGCACTCAGAATATTGCTTCAAAACAATTTAAAACGGGATTTTGCATAATGTTCCTGGTAAGCAGATTGAGGATTCCATACTTTTTCCTGGTAAGCAGATTTTCTCATCTATAAGACGAGTTTCTTAAACCCTTTAATCGGACTTGGTGGAAAATTAAAGAGGTCAAGACCTTAGCCAATTATCCTGTTCCCCTTGAAAAGCCGGAGTGGTGAATATAGCAATGTGCATCTCTGGATCGGGGCCTGTTGGGAATGTTGTTCTATACGTGCTGAGCTGTGCTTCAAAATTGGCCTTGCTCCCAGAAATTTCAGTGCAAAAGGTTACCTGTCAATCGCCTGCTAGGTATAAATAGGAAGCTGCTTTTCAGAAGGGAGAGGACTGGCAGCATGTGGAGGCTGTTGCTCAGAAGTGACAAGTTGGGCTTCGTGTCGGTGAGAGGCAGCAAAAAGGGATCTAAACGGACTTCAGACAGACGGTTCCAGAAAGGATCGGCCTACTATAATGTGCAGTATTTTGTTTAGGCTAGTAAAAGCCATGTAAATATGTCTAATTTTATGCTGCTGATCAATTTAATATCTGTGGGCTTATATTGATGAACATCATGTATACCATTATCTACTGTATACTGTTTTAAATATTATATCCATGGCAACCTTTTTAAAGCATTGTGCTTCTTGCCAACAATACTTATGATCTGAGTAATTTGTGCTCATACGTAAAAGAATCTACTTTAAATTTACTACTGAATACTAACATGTCATTTACATCACTTTTGAATTTTTGTTGGGCTGGAATGTGTCTATAAAATGACACAACACCGCAAAGAAACTTCCCACAGCACATTAATGCCGCTCAAATTCTGCTTTATGACCCATTCCCAATTCATATTTGCCGATACCCTCACAAGCAATCCAGAACATTACATACTGCACAGTCCTACTAAAGCAAGATTAGAATAATAAATCTGAGGTGCTTCTCAAAAGGATGGTTTTGCCTTTTTGAATTAAAAACTTTTCTTTCAATTCTTAAGTTACTGCATCTCCTCATCTATGCTAAAGTTAACTCAACAGTTGGGCAGAAAAAGTTCTGAAGAGACTTCTCTGTAATAATTGTGAAGTTGAGCTCAGGATAAGCTTAAGTCAATACGTGACATTTTGAACTAGACCAGCACTCATTTATTCTCTGTCAGTTTTGACACAGGTGATCAAAAGTTTTAAACTGGATAAAAAAATAAAATAATTTAAGCCCAAAGAGTAATTCATAGAGGAAGGATCTCTCCATCTACTACTGAAGTGCAGCACTCACCTTTGACGATTTGAATCGGTCATTATGCAACAATAACCCGACTACACAGCCGATAAAGGGAAAATTTGCTTCAACAGTTGAACTGCGGTGCAACTTTAGGGAAGCTGAACCATGCAAGACCAGGGTGGAGTCTAGCCAAGACGCTGAAGCCAACACCCTCCTTATGAACAGTCCATTGGGACCTTTGATGAGCAGTCAGGACCTCAGCTTAATAGTTCGTCCTGAACACATCTTACAGAACAATGTGAACATTCTGCGCCACATGAAAGAGTATCACTGACTAGTGCAGAACGTAGTGCAACACAGAGCAGCAATCCCACTCTTTTAGACCTGTCCCATCTCAGGACTAACCACGCTCATGACTGGTAAGTTTCCAAGATCTGAGGAGATCAGGCTACAAGGTGATCATGCAGCTCAATTGTCACAAAGAATAACCTAAAACTTAAGTATTGATGCTTCAAGTAAACAAAATATGAATTAGAAAACCATTATAGTATATTAATCTACCTTGTTTAAATGTTGCTGTCTTTCTTTATATTGTAGTAGTCATTATCTTACGTTATGATGAGCACATCCACCTCAAAAATGGCGTATTGAACTGATGAAGAGTGGAAACACCAGAGAAGTATTCATGTGGCATAAAGACTATCTGACAGTGACTGGCAGGTAAGTAGAAAAATAATTAAATAGCTCAACTTCTTTTAAATTAATCAGAGGAAAATGTAAGCATTATTTTTAAGAATTCAAACAATTTCACAGTTTAATATTCTTTATTTTTCATTTAGTAATGCAGAACTGATACACAACTGAATACACAATATAAAGCACCCTAAACTGAACTTCAACCCCCGCCCAAAAAATAAAGCTTTTTTTTTTTCTTACCTTCGTTTTGGCCACCCTGAGCTGAGACAGGGAATAGATTCAAATGGAGCAAATATAGCAGCATTTCTGTGTGAATATAAGCCTTTAAAATATACTTCACCAATTTCGATTTCTACCTCTCATTTTCAATGTTCCTCAGCATACTGAACCCAACTGAATCTTGCAAACGTATGTTTAAACACAGATATAGTAAAAAGCACAATTTGTCATAATTTCAGTTCTCTTACAGTGGTAAAGGTCAGTGGTATTTACAGGAAGCTATCATTTATGAACTTAATGACAGCATTAAAAAGATTCAACTTAAAAAATAACTTCTGACAGCTAGGGTTAAAACAAAGGAAAGCATTTGGAAGATATTATTGCGTGGTTTATCACCTTGCTGCTTAAGAACTGAAGGATTCTCAATTCATGTAACAAATGGCAGAAATAAATATACAAAAGAATACAAGGCTCTGGTATTAAATAGATTGCACTTTAATCATCTAGACCCAATAACTGCTAACTTGGTCTAGCATGGCAATAATATTCCGATTAGATACAGAAGCTATTACATATGCAAGCTATAAACAACATATTTACAAATAATAACTTTAATAGTGACAAAAGCACTCAATTCTATTATACAAAGGCAATCATAGATTGCAAATTTTCTAAGGCTCTGCAAAAATGCCTTTCTTTCTTATATATGAATACTCCTTGGCTTAGATGCGTTCGCCTACATGGTTGACTTTGTATCAAATTTAGGTTGAAATGTTAAAAAAAAACATTTTATAAATTTAGAGAAAAGGAAACCAAGTGAAAAAATAAAGAATCTTAATGTATTCATATACAGTAAATGGAGAAAAACAAGTGGTAGCCTTAGAGGCTTCATTAATCATTTCAATTTTGATACTGATAAGGTTATTGTGATTATTCAAAATGTTCCTTAAAGATTTACATTTTCAATGCACATCAAGAAAAAAAAAATCCCGCTGCCTATCTACTTGAAATGTTCAAGGAGTTTTCAGCCATGTGCCTATAAAATCTTCTTGCAATGGGTTACAGTATATAAGATTTCAATAACATTAAAATAGGTATGTTTTCTTTAATCAGATTCTTTGCCACAAGCTTAGAAAGTCCAAAGTCTCTAATGCACTTCATAATGCTGGTCTCATATGAAATGTCATTTTCTCTATATCAAAATATTTACACCGATACCAAAAATCTCGACTGTGGCGATTTTAAATACCATTTTAGACATTTTTGCACAGCCCCGAAATATTTCCCTTTCATTGACAGAAGTTTACACTCGTGCAAAACCAAAACCAAAAAAAAAACAACCTTTGTAGCACCACTCCTCTTCTCCCAGTATTCCAGACCTACTCTCGCACCACAAGTCGATTCTTCATAAAGCCAGTCTTGAACTCAGTCCCTTTTCAAGGGCAAAACACTGATCTGCTAAACACAGGAACGTGAGCTGAGCTGGTAAGAATGGAAAAACATTTTGGCCACACGGGTTTGTGAGATTCTAGGATTGGCACATCTGATCCTGCGTGTATGTCCCCACCTTTACTTTACTTAAAGGTGATTAACTTAAATGCCCGACTCTTTCCACTGAAATGTATCCGTGATGATCTGGAGGTTGAGTACAGAGACGCTCTCGATGTCCTGACGCTCCACATTGGCACCATGTCCCTTTCTTCTCTGATGCTCCATCACTTTTAATCACTGTGGGGTTTCTCCGCACCACCCTGTGAGATAAAAACAGGACTTATTAGAAAAGATCCACATTTGAGCATTCTGGAAAAAGAGGGACTCTTCCTAGATTTTTTTCCCCCCCACTAGGAAGCACTCCTAAATCAGGCTGTACAGTCAGTGCTTTCCAGGGATCAGCAGGAACCCAAACTACAGCAGAACACACTGTTCCAGCTAGCAAATCTATTGGATGTCAAAGGATGAACACACACAATCTTAACGACAGCCAACAAGATTCATTCCATTCTCCTTCCTTTTGGCCATCCTAAGCTGAGACGGGGAATAGATTCAAACTGAGCAAATATAGCAGCATTTCGGTGTGAATATAAGCCTTTAAAATCTTCTTCTCCACCACTTTCGATTTCTACCTCTCATTTCTAAGGTTCCTCAGCATGCAAAACCCAACTGAGTCAAAAACATTGTCATCACTGTCTTTTAAGTTTAGGTTATACTTGGGGAAATTGTTAATCAAATCAAAGCTTTGAACAATAGTGTTCAAATTTGCACTGCCCACCCTAATGAAGAAGCATTTTGTCTGAAAACATTGTGATAAATTTAATACACTAAAACTTTGAAAAACTGAAGACATGGTAAGCACTACTGCTTCTGCCTAACAATGTGAAGAAAATGATAGGTGTTAATGAACAGGAGAAACTGCTTTCAAAAGAACGCTACTGGAATGATTTACACACAATTTCTCCAATGACAACACAGGACATGGTAAATGTATTTCTCTTTCTGTTGTAACTGCAGTGCTACACATGAGTTCATCTCAATGAAAGTGGAGAATATATAAAGGCAGAGCACTCCTTAGCAAGAACACAATCGGTATTACTAAAACCATATAATTTAGTATATCATATATAAAACAATGTAAACATTTGCATTTGAAGTAAAAAAACAACTAATTCCAAAGTAACACAGAATACAATTTACTGTCCTGTGACTCATCTTGAATGTCTAAATAATGAGCTGCCAATCCTGCCTCTCATGTTTACTGAAAGGATCTGTCTTCAGAATGGATGGGATTCTTGTGGAATCTCGGGGATTTATATTAAGGGAAAATTGGCTACAATTACGAGGCATCAGACTTTGTCCAGTCTTTAGAACTTTCTTTGATTTATCTAGGCTACTAAAGTAACAAGGTATATTAAAGCCATTTGTTATGTTGCTTAATTCACTTTTGCCTTCTCCTATTTATGGTGTGAATGACTCAGTGACAGAACTCTTATCTGAAATTTTACAAACAAACCGTTACTACACCAATAATCAAGTATGGTTTATTTCCGCTCCTTATCATCCTTTAGAATGTTACATTATAGCTAATAAATCTTTACACAGAAGCTCACATACAACCTGTATATCTGGATATGCTATGTGTTGCTCTACAAATCAAGTCTCAGAACTGAGGTTCAGGTTGAAAAATCAAAAGCTATGCATCGGCTACTGCATATTCAGAGAAACCACATTTTGAAGATCACGGCAGTTAATTATCCATTATGCAATTTTAACACACTGCAAAATCAATCTTAAAATCCCTACGAGTAAAAAAAAAATGCAGTGCCGTTTTTGGGAAGCTTTCTCAATGGAAGAGCAATGGGACAAAATTACAAAACTCTAACTCAACTAAACTCCCTTGGCATATGTTTGGCTCTCTATTATTAAATTAGCAGTCTCTAAAGATAAACATGTAACATACAGCAAACTGAGGGGAAAAGACTTTGTCTGGGATGAGTTTTGATGATGTATTTATGACATTGGTACTTTGTAATATGACAGTCCTGGAGAGGTTATGTGATTAACTTCTGCATGACTGCTGCATAGGCCACCACAGGTGTACTGTGCGCTTGGCCTTATAGAGAGGTCAGAGTACACTTAGGCACAAGGACCAATTACATCTTAAATTAATCTCAAATGGTTCTTTTAACTAATCCTCCTCATGATGTGATGGATTGTTGTCTAGCACCTTCTTATTTATACTCTTTACTTTGGGGGGGCGGGGGGGGTCATCAAGCCTACTTATGTTTTTAATTGGACAACAACGGCATCAAGAAGTCTGTGTAGTTCCACACAGATGTTTTCAAATCACTCAGGTTCCAGAAACCAATAAAAGACAAACGTGTTCTTCCCTTTGAAGATTCTCCAGTTATCCAAATGACATTGTTATTAAGTAAACTTGTATCACTTTAGGCTCGTCTTGACTGAAGAATTTTGGACTGGTATAGGATCACGTGGCACAAATCAGGATTGTTTCTTTGTGGACTAACAGGTACATGGGTTGTGAATTTGTTCATGTGGGAAACATCTAAAAACTGAGGAGGAGAATGTGGCCTTCTATTTGATAGTACTAATGGGTCCGTGGTTCTCATCCAGCTGCTTCTTGGAAGAAGCAGCTTATCAGCCTTGACACGGTAAGAGAGTTCATCCCCTTTTTCTGTATATAGACTGTTCTCAGTTTCAACCCCACTTTTAGATTCAACACTTCCTCTGGTTTGTTTTCGCTGTTGATTCTGGAGATGTTCACCAAGTTGAATTTGTACCCATCCTTGAGGAATTTGAATATGTGAATCAAATCTTTGAGAGCCTTCCAACACTAAACCAATTTAGTTCTTTTTAGCCTGCCAAAGTAGGACAATGCTTTGAGACTGGTCAATATCTGGATGCTCTTCTGGTGCAGAAATAGTTTTGCAATATATTGACCCAAAACTACACAATATTCTAAAAGAGGTCCTACTATTGTACCATTCATCTTTCATGTAACATCCTGAGGTTTCAATTCTACTTTCAACTACGTGTACCAATATTCTATTAACCTGTCTTATGGTTTATTTAAATTATGGTTTAATAAACTTTCATATTTTTAACAAACAGCTGCTTCAAGCTAATGTCTTCCATTTTATATTTATAGTCTCTTGCCTCTGCAGTATTCTGCACCTGCCTACATTAAATGCAGTTAAGCAAGACACCTTTTCGATTCCATGCCCTCTTACATTCTATTGCCATACAGATCACCTTTAGTTTTAAAGGCTACTTATGTCTAGACAACCACTCTAGACATTAGAAAAAACCCTGCAGTACATGTTCCTTTTGGTAACTTATCTTCCAATAAACTATACAAACCTCTTTTTATACTCTCAGTATTCAATACTTCATTGGTGAATGCTGTGTAAAAATATATATATATATATTTAAATCATATAGAGAATAATAACTAATAAGAATTCCTTACACTTATATAGCACTTTTCTGGGCAGTTCCCTTTACAGGTAATGGGGTCTCCTCTCCGCCATCACCAATGTGCAGCCCCACCTGGATGATGTGACGGTAGCCACTGTTCAATTGTTCACTTCCCCATTGATAGCTGGTGTGTGGTGAGTGTACTGGTGCACTGAGTAATGAAGCTAATTCATAGACAGGGATTACTGGGGGGGGGGCAGGGGGGGATGTGGTCAGGACACTGGGGTAAACACCCCTATTCTTTTCGAGAAACTCCCTGGGATTTTTAATGTACATGAGGAATAGAGATCTCGATTTTCCGTCTCATCCAGGTACTGGCCAGGTTGACACCTGCCAGCCCGTACCCGATTAAAAGCTTACAAATATATTCGATATCGTGTCTCTAACAGAAAATATTCAGAACACAAGGGGTCCAATTTTATCCCTCCCCATGAGGTTAAAATTCCACATTCCAATGGGCTGGTAAAGGAGAGGCAGGAGAAACAACTAACAGCTCGTGTTTTTAACAACAGCAGACAGCTTACCATTGCTAGCTGACGCCCTATATTTCCAACAGTGACTCCACCTGAGAAGAAGATACATGGCAGCCAGGAGCGGATATACAGAAAGTCTGGCGACGTGTACCTAGAAGGAAATGGTAACAAAACAGATTAGATGCAATGGCACAAACTAATGCTTGCACACACTTCAAGACAACTATTTTAGCATGCATGACAACTTAACTAGCTCTACTGTGCAGCCTCTGAGGGGAGCAGTATTAAAATTTAATGCTGGGAAACAAAATAATCAGCTCCGTATCTTCGGCAGAAAATGAAACCTTTTAAGCGCCACTCATTCTGGGCCCCTTGCTGATGCCTCCTTCCTAGAAACACTACAGGATGTTTTTGATGAGGACGCACATTGCGAGGTAGGAGGACAGGTAATTGGGCAGGCATATAAATGTAGGGTTTCCAAACCTGAGTAATTGCATGCATTTTTATTCTTTGAATGCGTTTGCCTTGCTTTGATCACCTCATGTTTTTGGCAGAATGCAACGTCTCTGAACAAGGTGATATAATAATAATAAAAAAAAGGCAGAAACACAGCACCACTTTCAATGTGATCCACCGGCACTCCAGCCTCGGAGGACACAAAGGGTTTCCAACTTCTCGTCTATAACAGCCAGGTATAATTGTAGGACGCGGCGAAAATCAAACTTACTGATACACGCCATTGTACACGAGGAACTGCGTGATGAGTGTGGCAAGAAAAGCTATTGTAATTCCCAGTCCAAAGCCACTTCTTGATCGGTCAAATGTCCACCACAGCCCCAGTGAAAGGGCTGCTAGGGTGAGTGACAGCTGAACATTGTTGGCAAAGTCCAGTTTCTATGAACGCATGAGTTAAAGGAAATGTGCATCATAGCACTTTTTATACACAGGTTATCGGTATTGTCATCAAACATGAAGCAGGGGAACTGTCTTAATATAATGTTGTAAAAATCAATGCAAAAGCCATCCACTAACTCGAACGGTAAATTGATACAGATTTGGACTCAAGTGAGTTTTGTGTCAATGGTACAAGGCAATGTAGACTTTTCTTTTATCAAACATCAAATAATACCACATTCAAGCTAAACAAATGCCTAAATATTAAAGTTAAAGCCACTTTTAGCCATTTTAAGGTGTAATTTTTTACTGATTTTGCCAGCAAACTTCCAAGTAAGGAACTACCCACAGTAAAGATGTGAAAGTGTTTTGCAGTTTTATGTACTTGAACTGTACAAATCAACTTAAAAATCAAAAGAGAGCTACCATAATGTTAGGATTTCGAAGAAACAGGAACTTAAGACTCAAATCTTTTGATCTTATTTCATCAGCTTGAGAAAGTTTGTATCGTGTGGTATGATCTGTTGCAGTAATCGCTTACCATAAGAGCAGGACACATTTTGCTTGTAAACAAAGGCATGTGAACCCTGACTTAGAGAGATGAGAAGCTTAAAATCATGTGATAAGGTACAACAACGCCAGTTAAATATAATGGTGACCATGGGAGTTCCTAAAATTTGTTTGCCTGCTTTAAAATTGTTCAAGAAATAGGTTTATTCCATGCTGAAAAGAGAAAGAAAACAATATTTTGGCGTGGAGCTCCAAGGCTCCAAGGCTGAAAAGTTGTTTTTCTTTCTTCTCTTTTCAGCATGGAATAAACCTATTACTTGTTCCTTTGCAGCCTACGCATGCTGATGTAGCTACCCCCCTGAACTACTTAAAATTGTTCTACTGTTTAGCTAAAGACCTTTTGCCCAGTTTTGCATGGCTGGGGAAAACCAGGCCAAAAAGCCCCAACTCCTTTATTCTGAAAGGATACAGCACTGGCATGATTGATCCCAACAAACACTGCGATGCAGCGCATGACACTGGCCCATTCCCTCTTAAACTTGTGGGGCTCCCCAAGATGGCTGTCAATGCAGGGGTACAGCAGTCCTACCACAGCTGCGGGAAACAACCAAAACAAAATCACAGTATTAGTACTTCAACATACCTTCACATGGGAGGTGAAAAATAAAATTTGAAGGCTGCATCTGACAAGCACTTATAAAAAGTATTTGGTATTGGTATGATCTGAGAACAGCCCTCGGGAATTGGCTACATATTTAAAAGTGCATGCTATTTAAAACTAGGTATCTGACTAAAATCAACTGCGTAAAAGTAAAAAAGCTTACTGTTTATATCTTTCCAATCACTAAACGTTTACCATTATTCATTAGATTAATGTGCAGTGGATCAGTCAATCACAGAAACCAGCTGAACAGAAAACAGGACATAATAGGTGCAACATTAGAAAGTTAAAGGGGTGGTGTTTAATAAAATACACAAAAATAAGCTTTCACTTGTAGCATATCAGCATAAGGGCGGTAGACAATTTGAGAAGATAAGGGAAAAAAACAAGTGTTATATCAACAATCTGAAACACTAACTAAAAGTCAAACACAGCTGCAAAACCTTATATAAATCAACACCTGAAATACATTTTATAGCAATACTGCTTTCTGTGAATCCACTTTTACTTTAGGTTACCAGATAAGGACAGAAGTTATTAACATCCCTGTATAAGACAGAGATGAACTCAAAACAATTTTGTTGTTCATAGCCTCTCCACCATCCATCAATATTCTACTGTAAATATTAGAAGTGGTTTGGCAGGGATTTCTAAAGACTTTGTAACTTTTAATCAATTAAAGCAAGTCATTTGCTCAGTTAACGTATCTTGTCATTGGGGGCTTCGTTCCGGGCGTACTCGTCAATTATTTCACTTAACAAATAGCCTGCAGCCGATCACAAGTATTTTTCCCCGGGTTTTAAAAATCTGGGGATTTAGTGGTGACCTTAAAAAAAAAAAAAAACCTGCCAGACGAGGGACTCTCCGTGAGCAGGGTTGGAGATGGCTGGTTTAGCGGAATTAGAGAACCAGAGGGGGGAGGGTTGGGCTGGGTAGCGGAGCCCACAGAGGTTGTATTTATTTCCCGGCGCACATGACTTCCTTGTTTCTCTTTTATGTCAGTGGCGTGTTCGCGCGATCAGCCAATGGGAAGCCGCCTCCGCAGCTCACCAGTTATCCGCGCAGCCAATGAGAGAGGCGCTCTAGGCGGCCCTCCGCCGGAGCCGTTGCCAGGGGGGCCGCATCGTTGTCAAGCGAAATCGAAAATGCGCTATATTACACCTTATCGAAATCATGTCATAAAGTTACGTTAAACAGATCCATAAAACAGTAAATTAGGGCTTTCCGGTTACACCGACAATAACAAAAAGGGGGGCGGGGGGGTGTGTGTGCGTGTGTGTTGTAGACCCGAGGGAGCTCCGTGTTAAAACAAACCACGTTCACAGCAAACGTAAGGGTTTCAACCTTTCTATAGCAGGATTTTCAAGAAACAGGAACAGAAGGGTGCAATTTGTATACAACCAAAACTTACGTCCACAATTACTCCAAATATGTAAAAGCTCGACTGCAGCTCAACACATGAGCACTGCGGCAGCGGACTCACTGTTTATTTTACTACCCCGAGCCTGAAAAGTTTCCCCGTTTTCGCCCGGACTGCTTTTATATGCAGCCTGGTCGGTCGCAAGATGACTTTATCCCCCCCCAAAAAAAACAAAAACAACAACACACCGCTATAGCCCAGAATAAAATAAAGCAACGGTCTAGCGAAACGAATGGGATATTTTTGGTCTCATGAGACGTTGGAGGGGAGGGTTATCAGATACCCCCGTACCCCGGCCTTTCAAGATCACTGATAAAATCGTAGTAAACACACAAACACACAAACAAAAGCACCGAGAAAACTCACCCGCGGCCGTGCCGCAGCACAACGGGACCCACCAGGCCGAGGAGAAGAGGGTGGCGAGGACCTCCTCCGGGAACAGGGTGACGTTCCGCTGGACCTGCAGCAGGTTGAGCACCAGCGCCAGGAACACCCCCACCGTGAAGAGCACCAGGCCCCGCCGGAGCAGGTTGGCGGCCTGGAGGTGGTGCAGGGAGCCGTAAGCGTGGCCGAGCAGGGCCGAGATGATCGTCATCATTTCGCCGGCTTTAGACGCCAGCCAGGACGCGCTGGAGAGGTACTTCGATTTGACCCTCGTCGAACAGGAGCAGCTCCAGCAGTGTCCCTCCAGCCTTGGCATTTGGCAGCTGAACAATGAAAAACGCACACACACACACAAAACAACGACGACACCATCAATTTCTGTCGCCACAGATGCTCTGGACCGAGTGCACACGTGTCAAAAGAAATAGGGGGGGGGGACTTTAGTGTTAACTATTCGAGATTAAACTCATCTCGGTATAACACAGCGATATCCTTCAACTTAAAAGCGCTTCAAAAACCTCACAAGTGTCCTTATACGTATAAGGCATGTTAACTGCAGAGCACACGAACAATACACTAAAACCTTAAGACATGGGCACAGCTGATGCCCAAATGCCTACCTCGACCTCCAGTTAGTGGGTGAGAGAAGATGAAAACTGGTTGCCTTCCACACTTCTGATTGCCTCGTCGTTCAATGCGGCGGCTGGCGTTTTACGGTCACGTCTTTTTTTTTTTTAAGTCACATCCTCACTGGAAGGGGGGAACAAACCCGACTGCCGCTCCGCACCACAGCCCCGGCGGCCTGACTCCTCCAGCGCGCTTCCCTTGGCTGAAAACAAGGCGTCTGGTGAGGCGCGCCGGCCAATGGCAGCGCGGCGGCCCATATGACGTGACGCCGCACCACCACCTTTCCCGACTCGGGGACGGGCGGGCGTGCGGGCTGGCAGCTTCATGCGGGGGAGCCGTGCGTGGAGGCTCCGCAGACAGCCCATCACAACACAGGCGATCCGCCGCCTACGTGTGTCGTAACCCATACGATTCCGAAAAGAAAACCCGACCATGGCGGGCGGGCGGGGGGGTTGTTGTTTTCCGTGTGTGCCAATGCTCGGCGCCTTGAAGTCGCCGCCTGTGGATGACACTTCCATTTCTTTATTCACATAAATAAATATGTCGGGTCTTTTGAAGGGTCCTGCTAGTAAATAATGATTCTTTTTGTTATTGTCAGATTTTCCCAATTTAAATTCGTAGCCTTGCACCCTGTGTTGTGGTGTGACGCTTTCTGCTTATACGAGCGTCATACTATTAATTTTGTTCATAACGACCCCCCCCTTTTTAATCTGTGAATATAAATTGCGGCCACCGAAGCAGAAGGAACTTGGAAACACTTCCACACACCAGCCCTCGGACGTGCACCGCCACACGCTACACTTCCTATGACCTGCGAGTGCTGTACACGCTTGAGATGTTGAGAACAAACAGTGACTTAATTACGACATAGAAGTACCGTCACAGTTACTCACAAAATCGACCTTTTGAGGAAAGGTACAGATTGCTGACAGAGTGCAATGACATGGCCCTGCTTTTCATCACATAGTGTAGCCGGATTACGTTAGGATAGTTTCCTTTTAAGGTCTAGCCTTTCGCATATTTTACAGCTTGCAAAGATAAGGTGGTGTGTGACGGTGTGTTTACCATCCAGTTAAATATACATTAGATGTTACGCATACTTTTCGCTCGTTATTATGCTACGTAGTTCAGAAGGGTTTACAGATATGTGTTAACGCAATTGTATGAATTCTGTGCAAGATTAAAAACTTGCTGGAACTGTGAAAACGATTATTCCTCCCCGTTTCCCAGTGTTTTATTTGCCAGTGCAGTGCTGGTTCAGCTTCCACACAACACCTCAATGAGCAATCATATTTTAAAAATGCTGTTACGCGGATGTTTGTGACGGGAAATATCTTTTTCTTCCGTTTTCGCTTTGCTGCCTGTAAACGGGTTAAACCTGCGTCAGTATTTATCCACGTGAATAGATTCACTGGCTGTAACCAAAGTGTATTTAGATTTAATTGCAGTTATTTTATTTTTCACAGTACTATGTATCTTGTGCGTGCTCCATATTTATTGACAACTCAATCGAACTCTTCTATCAGTTCGTTCGTAATGCTTCCTATAGTTGTAAATACTATGGAGACCGTGCAGTAATAAACCGATCTAGATATAGACAGGCGTTTCTTTACGGTGCACATACTGTATATATGTACTTTCTCATGAATATTGCTTTCATGTTGCCCTCCCTCGAGGAACTCTAATGGCAGATATCTGAGATCATCTGAAGATGTTGCCAGAAAGATCTGTACACCAGTTAAACGGGTACTGACTGTCATACCTCTTGGGCAACTGTAATCCCTTGCATTTATAGAACACATTTCAACCCAAAGGGTCTCAAAGCACTTCACATGAAGTGCACCAGTCAGCTTGGGTGATATACAACTGCCAATAGGCTCCAGTAGCACAACTGCCCTGTCAGTCAAGAGGGGAAGTGAGTAATTGCTCCAGCAGTTGAATGAAGAGGGAACTTTATGAAGGCCAGATTATGCAAAATCACATCGTAATTTAGCGAGTGCACTGGGATTATTACTCGTCTCCCAAACACGAGGAATGTCATGGGATCTTAAATGACCAAGGACTCGGGACTTCAACAATACAGTTCAATCAAAGGACAGCACTGTCTACAGTGTAGTGTTCATTTAGCCCAGCAGCTGTACTCTTTATTTCCAATGCATTAACCAGTTCATGATCTTAAGAAATGCATTATCGTGAATGCCTACTGCCTGGAATTAAAATCATAATCTTTTAGAGTAAAATGATACAGGTTGCTCCTGTGCTCTGCAAAGCAGTTAGGAATGATGTGATGTATTGCCTTTCCAGAACATTCTAATAATCATATAAGAAATTAAGTATTACAACATTAACTAGCCTGATTCATTGCGTAGGCACCCATGGCCTGTCTCCTGTTTAATGGTTCGTGAATTCTGTGACGGGAACTATCTTTTTTTAATGGAAATGTAGATCATCAGATGACACAATCTATAGAGGCCTCACCTCTCCACTAGTAGTGGCGATCAGACAAAATGTGATCTCAGATGACTGTCTCCAAAAGCCCAGGGTACCAGGCGGAGCCAGAGGCGCGAGGCAGGATACACCCTGGATGGGACACCAGTCTATCACAGCGCAGACACATAGGCACAAACACACAGCAGGGCCAGTTCTCCCAAAAAGCCAGTTACCCACCTTTATGGTTTTGGATTGTGGGAGAAAACTGGAGCACTCCAAGGAAAACCATGTGAACAACAGGGAGAACATACAAACCGTTCACAGAGAGCAGCCCAGGAGATGGGCTAAGGGCTCCAGCACTGTGATGCATTAATGCTAACCACTGCGCCACAACCTCACTCTTATTGTGCCACCCTTTCTTCAAATACTGCTACTGCAAGAAGGTCAGAGATATTAAGACCTGTGGTATCATTTTTAGCCAAGTTGTCAGTGTAGCGAACGTTTTGAAGGACAAGACCTCTTTTAAGGCACGAAACTGTAATGTTGAAGAGATACTCATACTTTTCCATTGAGTAGCTCTGCACAAATCAAATGAGGATCAGATGCTGTTGATGACATCAATATACAACTGATGTATGTTTAATATTATTATATATTATAGAATGATATATAATTCTTATACAAAATACCTTTACCTGTCCATCATGTGCCAATATACAGTACTTAGATGATGTATAAGAATGATTTGTTTAACACTTTGTACTGTATGCTCAGGTACTGGCAAGTCTCAATGCAGTTTCATTTGAATATAATGAAGTTATTTAGCCTGAGGAATTAACAAAATCTGAAGCGGATTTATCCCAATTAACAGACAAAAGTTACAAAGATCTGTCTGTGGAATGTGTTTACTTACTAGCTTTTGGCTATTCTTTGAAACTAATACCATGGGTAAACCTTTTAATGCATATTGGAAACAGAAATTAAGAGTTTATTTTTTTCTTCCTTAACCTAAAGCAACTAACTTGACACAAAAGCGGAGACAGCAGTTATCTGATAGGATTTTTTTTCATTAAACTTTAATTAAAAACCATTTTGAAGTAATTGTTTTCAGCCTTAATCCCGGGGTAATTTTCTTTCTTATTGCTGTGTTTCAGACTTCATGGATATATTGCACAGAAATGAAATCATCAAGAAATTCATTTTTGATGAAAATGTGTTATGGGGATTAAACTCTGGTTGCTTTCCAAATTAACGCTTCAAAGCTTTGAAAGAATGATTTAAATTCTTTTTGTAATTTAAAAACAGATACTGTTGCACACACATTTCTGTATCAGCAATGAGCGCCCTGGGACCCACACAAAAAGGCTAATTAAGCCTTACCTGATGGGAGATGGAAAAAATGATTTATCAGGTGAGAATTTTTTTTGTGCTTTGAAATAGTCTGTAGGTTTAAACAAATTAGTTTGAAGGCAGTGGTGCTGTGGTTAAGATAGCCCAGACAGCCTCGCTTGGAAAACTTACCTTGATCAACATGAATTTTAACACTATTTTACATATTTAGAACCTTATCAAAATAAATTGGCTACTTACACAACTGGTAAGAGATGTTAAACTTGACTCTTGTCTGTGTTATTTTAACAAACCTTAAACGAAATCAGACATACCTGTATGTTAAAATTTAAGTTTGCTCCAAAAAGTATGCCGCACAAACTCAGCTTATTGAGAAACTGTGAAACTCACTAATGATGCATAAAAAAAGACCTAAACCACTGCCATCAACCAAAGCTGACTTCATTAGGGGTTTGCCAATGTTTAAGCCTGTGCCTGGTCCAGGGCTTCCCGAATTGAACAGAACTGATGGCTGTATTTCTCAGCTTATACAGGACTGGGGTCCTCATCAGGCTGCGTGGATTGTGAAATGGAAGTTCCTTTTTCATGATCCTTATTCCGGCTTTGTTATCCAGTCACATGGTCCAGAGCCTATTCCAGGAAGCACTGGATGCAAAGCAGGATCCACTCTGGATGGATCAGCAGTCCATCAAGGCGCAGACACAGGCTGAGACACACACGCTCACACCATGTCCAATTTTTCTGGAAGCTAATACCAGTATGCCTTTGGACTGTGGTAGGGAACTGGAGCAACCAGAGGAAACCCCATGCGAACACGGGATGAACATACAAACTCCGCAGAGATAGCTCCCAAATATTTGAGCCCAGGTCCCCAGCGCTGCCAGGCAGCGATGCAAACCACTGTGCCACAATGTCACCCAAGTACCTTCTTCATTATCCTTATTCTGGTTTCTTTAAACATTAACAATAACAAATCATTACCTCAAATGGATTTTTTAATATCACAGGACTGTTGCTTCTAAAAACTACCACATTACGCCTTTCGTATCACATTGTCAT